GGGCTGTTTTTCTACTGACTGGATTAGTTTTGGAGGTTTCTTGCAGGAAAGCTGGGGCCTTGGTGGGTTCATTGTGGGGGAGGCTGTTTTGGCCTATTTTTAAGGGGGTTAAGTTTTAGGGCAGTATATCAAACTATCATGAAGGATATCTGCAAAATACATTGCAGGAGCAGGCAGGACGGGGTCACCCATCCAAACCCCTCCAGCTTCTCCTTTCTTCCCTCCCCATTCCACCTTCTTTCCCAAAGACCCTGTCAAGCATCTTGCCGTCAAATGTCTAGGAGAGGGGGGGCAATGGGCAAGAAACCTGCTGTGGGAATTCGTGGCGGGAGGGAATGATAGCTGAGGAAGAGCAGATCAACATGGAACCAGTTTGTGCCAGGCATCGTCAAGGGCGTTTACAAGTATCATGACTTAAGGTCTTTCCACATTCAAGCATATTTAGCGTTCCCCTCCCCCGGGAATCTTTTGATGTCAATGAAGGTGTACACCATCGGTAAAGCTCTTCCCACACTCAAGGCGTTTATATGGTTTTTCTCCTGAATGGATTCTTTGATGCTTACAAAGCCTTCCCTTCTCACAGAAACTCTTCCCACTCTCCAGACATTTCTGTGGTTTTTCTCCAGTGTGGATCCTTTGATGTTTGCAGAGCTGTCAACTCACAGTAAAGCTCTTTCCACACTCCAAGCATTCTTATGGTTTTTCTCCCGCGTGGATCCTTTGATGGGTATAAGGTTTCCCCTCTGACTGAAGCTCTTTCCACACTCTATGTATTTATGCGGTTTCTCTCCTGAGTGGATCCTTTGATGTCTATAAAGTTGTCCCCTCAGATTGAAACCCTTTCCACACTCCATAAATTTATATGGTTTTTCTCTAGTGTGGATTCTTTGATGTGTATAAAGGGTGCTCCTCTGACTGAAGCTCTTTCCACACTCCAGGCATTCATGTGGTTTCTCTCCAGTGTGGATCCTTTCATGTTTATGAAAACTGCTCGTCTGAGCGAAGCTCTTTCCACACTCCAGGCATTTATATGGTTTCTCTCCTGAATGGATCCTTTGATGTACATAAAGGATGCTGCTCTGAGTGAACCTCTTTCCACACTCCAGGCATTTATATGGTTTTATTCCTGAGTGGATCCTTTGATGGGTATAAAGGTGTACCATCCGACTGAAACACTTTCCACATTCCAGGCATTTAAATGGTTTCTCTCCTGAGTGGATCCTTTGATGGGTAGAAAGGTGACCCCTTTGACTGAAGCTCTTTCCACACTCCAGGCATTTAAATGGTTTCTCTCCTGTGTGGATTCTTAGATGGTTTACAAGAGCTGTATTTCTTTTGAAAGATTTTTCACATTCTGCGCACTGATATTTCATTTCTCCCTTCTGGATTCTTTGGGGATTCCCGAGTCTTCCAGCTGTTCTCCTCTCACTGAAGTTCATTCCACAGCTCGGACGGTTATGCTGTTTCTCTCCTAAGTGGATCCTTTGATGTTTCTGAAGGTGTCCAGTACGACTGAAGCTCTTTCCACACTCTAGGCATTTATATGGTTTTTCTCCTGTGTGGATCCTTTGATGTACATAAAGGCTGCTGCTCTGAGTGAAACTCTTTCCACACTCCAGGCATTTATGTGGTTTTTCTCCTGTGTGGATCCTTTGATGTACATAAAGGCTGCTGCTCTGACTGAAACTCTTTCCACACTCCAGGCATTTATGCATTTTTTCTCCTGTATGGATCCTTTGATGTCTATAAAGATTTCCCCTCACACTGAAGCACTTTCCACACTTGAGGCATTTATGCGGTTTCTCTCCAGTATGGATCCTTTGATGTACATAAAGGATGCTGCTCTGAGTGAAACTCTTTCCACACTCCAGGCATTTAAATGGTTTTTCTCCTGAGTGGACCCTTTGATGTATATAAAGGTTTCCCCTCACACTGAAGCACTTTCCACACTTGAGGCATTTATGCGGTTTCTCTCCAGTGTGGATCCTTTGATGTTGATAAATGCTGCTCCTACGACTGAAACTCTTTCCACACTCCAGGCATTTATAAGGTTTTTCTCCTGTGTGGATTCTTAGATGGTTTACAAGATGTGCATTTCTTTTGAAGGATTTTCCACATTCCGGGCACTGATATTTCTCTCCTTCTTCCTGGATTCTGTTGCATTTCCTGAGTCTTCCACCTGTCCCGAAGGACCCTCCGCCCTCCAGGCCCGTCTCAGGGTCTACACCCGTTTTCTCTCTAGTATGAATCCTTTGATGTCTATACAGGGTGCCTTTCCCACTGAAGCTCTTTCTACATTCCAGGCATTTATAAGGTTTCTCTCCAGTGTGGATCCTTTGATGTCTATAAAGGTGTCCTGTCCGACTGAAGCTCTTTCTACATTCCAGGCATTTATAAGGTTTCTCTCCAGTGTGGATCCTTTGATGACTATATAGATTTTCTGTCCTGCTGAAGCTCTTTCCACACTCCAGGCATTTATGTGGCTTTTCTCCAGTGTGGATCCTTTGATGTATATAAAGGTGTCCCTTCCCATTGAAGCGTTTTCCACACTCCAGGCATTTAAATGGCTTTTCCCCTGAGTGGATTCTTAGATGCATTTTAAGATCTGCATTTCTTTTGAAGGATTTTCCACATTCCGGGCATTCAAATGGCTTTTCCTCTGAGTGGATTCTTAGATGCATTTTAAGATCTCCATTTCTTTTGAAGGATTTTCCACATTCTGGGCATTTATGTGGCTTTTCTCCTGTGTGGATTATTAGATGCATTTCAAGACCTCCTTTTCTTTTGAAGGATTTTCCCCATTCCGGGCATTCATATTTCTCTCCTCCCTCCTGGATTCTCTGGGGATTCCCGGGTCTTCCGCCTGTCCCGAAGGACCCTCCGCCCTCCAGGCCCGTCTCGGGGTCTCCGCCCTTTTCCTGCTCCCCGCTTCTCCCTCCGGGCGGCCTCCTTTCCCGGAGTCCCCTTCGGCTCATCCCTTCCGGGTCTTCCCCGCCGTCTCCTCCCGGGGCTGCTCCGCGGGGCCTCCTCTCCTCTCGGGCGGCGCCTCCTTCCTTCCTTCCTTCCTCCGCCGGGCTCGCGCGTCCTCCTGCAGGGGCGAAGGGGGGAGGAGAGGCGGGTCACGGCTTCGTCCCTTCCCCGGAGGGGAGTCCCAGGCCCGCCCGGGGAGGAAGGCCGAAGCCTCGGGCTCTCCGTGGGACTTTCCGGGCAGGCCTCCCTCCCAGCGCCCGTCCCGCCAGACCAGGCCTCGGCCTCCCCCCTCCCTCCCTGCCTCCGCCAGAGAGCCCCTCGGACTGCCACTCCCAGCATCCCTTGCGCCCCACCTGGCTCCGAGCCCGTCCGCGGCCCAATCACTTAGGCGCCTACCTTACATTTGTTTCCGGAAGTGGAGGCGGGACTTCGCTGCGAGGTCTCTTCCTGGTTGCTCTTCCTCTTTCCTCTGAATGGACCGCCCCGAGGAGTCCTCCTGCCAATCGTTGCCCTGCCCAGAGCGACCAATCTACTCCCCCTTGTCCCGATCCATCATCATATGGCGCCTCGCCAGGCCAGATTTCGGCCTTCCCCCTCCCTCCCTCCGCCAGAGAGCCTCTGGGACTGCGACTCCCAGCATCCCTTGCGCCCTACCTGGCTCCGTCCGCGGCCGAATCGATGAAACGCCTCAGTTCTGTTTCATCCCAGAGGTGTGCGGCCTTTCCCTGGAAACTCCGCCTATTTTCCTACAGGGTCCGCCCCGAGGGGTCCTCCTGCCAATGGCTGCCATCGCCAGAGCGACCAATCGGCGTCCTCCTCCCTTGAATTAGCCAGATGGCGCCTGCGCAGTAGCGAGGGCTTTTGTTCCCGGCGCGGAGGGGAGGGGCTCCCCTTGAACTTTGGGGTCCGCTCTTCCCCCCCCCCATCCAGGCAGGCGCAGCTGGGGGGCGTTTCCGGGCTGCGTCTCCGCCCCTTCCTCATCCGGGCTCTCTCCCTTGGCAGGGCGGGGGAACTGGGAGGGCGCTTCCCCCCTTCGCCCTCCTGGGGGGCTCCGGCCAGGCTCCCCCCGAGGCCTCCAGGCAACCGGGCGCTTCCTGGGCCCCCCAGTGCCGCCCCCTCCTCCCCGGGACCCCCTTGCCAGACTAACGGGGGGGGGAAATCCCCTCCAGGACCCCCCCCTAATATCCGGGCCTCTAATAGGTTGAAGCCTCCAGAAAGGCCCAGCTTCCCCCCTCCCCCCCGCTCTGACCCCCCCCCATACGCCCCTTCCTCCCCGGGGAGCCCCCCCCTCGGCCTTGGGGGGCTCCCCGTGCTTCCTACGCCCCCCCCCAAAGGCCGGAGGGGTTCCTGCTCCTGCTGCTCTCCCGGACTCCAGCCAGCTTCTCCCGGGCTGAGAGAGGATGCTGAGCTGGCCGTTTCAGAGGCTTTGGAACTTCTATGGCCCCCACCTCCCCACAAGCCCCTTTTCTACGATTGGAAATCATTTTAATGCTCCTGCACTCAATACCCGAGGTTATCGGATGCTGGAGCCCAGTGACCTTCTCCAGGCATGGTTAGATGTAGGCAGGAAGGTCTCTTCTCAGCTAACAACGGAGCTGGAAGGGACCTTGGAGGTCTTCTAGTCCACCCCCTCCTCCAGCAGGAGATCCTCCATGATTCCAGAAAGTGGGAATATGCTGGGTCTGGGAGTCTCTTTATTGGCTTCTGTGTTGTGTTCTGCTTTTATTAAAGTGTGTTGTTGAATAAATGTAATGCATGCCTACATGCCCCTGGCCAGCACCTGTTATTTGGTAGAATACGCCTAATGTTCTTATCATTTTTGAGCAAAGAGAAGGGCTGAGTTTAATAAGCAGTGGAAGAACTGCTATTCATTATTCTCTGAAGCTCACTAGACCCTTTGACTTGATAAGCCTGTCCACGGAGAGCTTAAAGGGACAAAGATTTATTCTGTTTGGTGGGCTTCTGCTTTAGGCTTGTAAGGAACTGTCTCAGCTGATCCCTCAGCAAAGGAAGACTCTGAATCCATCCAGTTGAGTCAAAAGGATTTTTACGGAGCAACAGTGATTGCGGGAGGACAAAGCAAACTCTGAAAAGGCTGCGCAGAGCACAGTCATCTCTGGGTGACTGTGAAAATTTTAGGCATAATACAGATAGTCCTCAACTTTACAACAGTTCATTTAGTGACCGTTCAAAGTTACAACCACTAAAACAAGGATCATGACCATTTTTCACACTTACAACCTTTGTGGTCACGTAATCAAAAATTGCAATGCCTGGCAACTGACTCATATTTATGACGGTCGCAGTGCCTGGGGAGGGTCACATGATCGGCTTTTGTGACCTGACTTGCAAAGTCAATGGGGAAGCCAGGTTCGCTTAACTACTGCGTTGCTGACTTAATGACTGCAGGGATTCACTTAGCAACAGTGGCGTGAAACGTCGTAAAATGCTCGCTGTAGAATTCTGGGAGTTGAAGTCCACATGCCTTAAAATTGTCAAGGTTGAGAAGCACTGCCTTAGAGTCTCTTCTTTCTGCTAAGAAGCTTTAAAAACAAGGGTACCATTGAGAGCATCCAATTTAGAATTTCAGATATCTGGGGATGGTATTAACATGGGGTTAACCTTTGGAAAACCCATTTAGATTATATCAAACAATGACAGGGAGGAGCTCTGTCACACCCCCAACAGTGAAGGCTGAATTAGCTCTAGTGTCAGGTCCTGCAAGTTCCTGCCATCTGGAAGGGCATTGGGGGTGTGTGTGTGGACAAATGGACAATACGATTGCGTGTACGTGATAGGGAGGGGGGAAATGACAGGTGATGAAGCCCATAGAAGTCCAGAATTGGTTGGTACCAGAGGCACCTTTTGCTTCAATCCGATGACGTCGAGGGTCTTTCTTTCCTAAGGGACCCGGTTGGGGCAGGTCGGACGCCTAGATTCTGCCACATTGCATTGTTCAAATTAGGCAGAGATGGAAGATCTTTTAAAGGCAACTTATTAGAGTAATCTAACAAAGAGGTTTCCCCTAATGAAAAGACGAGCCCAGGACACATACAGCAGAAAAAGTACAAAAGAATAGTTGATTGGATGGAAGAAGTCCTGTTACATCAGAAACGTGGACAGTAAGTTAAACATCCCATAATATGAAGCATAACCATTTGAAAGAGCATTGTATTAAAAGGAGAACGTTTGCATGGGAAGCGACGTGACGAGCCACATAAACCTGTTGTGAAAAGGGACATTTTCAGCCAGCTGAATCATCTAGCCCAGGGGTAGGCAACCTTGGCTCTTTTATGACTCGTGGACTTCAACTCCCAGAATTCCTCAGCCAGCCCTGCTGAGAAAGGGAGAGGTTTCCAAGCTGAGCCACGCTGGCTCAGGAATTCTGGGAGTTGAAGAAGTCCAGGAGTCATAAAAGAGCCAAGGTTGCCTACCCGTGGGCTAGAATGTACAATTGATAAAGTTCTTTGTTATTCAGCCTGAGAGAGTCCCTTATTTTGCAGTTAGAAAGTTACAAGCACCTAAATGCTAAGGCAGAAACCTTCTAAATTACAAGCTTATGATAAAAAATATAGAAGTTACAAGAAAGTGCAAACAAGGGCAAGAAAGTACAAAAGAATGGAAGAAGAAATGCATGAGTCCCTCAGACTCTCCCTCCCTCTCATTCCAATGTCCCTCCTTCTTTCCTTCCTTCCCTGCTTCCCTTCTTTTCATTCCCATCTCCTTCCTTCCTTCCTGTTTCCCTCTCTTGTTTCCTTCCCTCTGGACCCAGGAAGGCACGAGGGGAGGGGGAGAGGTTCGCAGCAGTTCTCTCAAAGAATAACAGTTGGAACAGACCTTTGAGGCCTTTAGTCTAAGCTCCTGCTCAAGCAGGGGACATATACCATTCCAGACAATGGAATATCCAATCTCTACTTAAAAGGTCCCAGTGATGGAGCACCCACAACTTTTGAAGGCAAGCTTTTTCACTGGTTAGCTGTTTGCACAAGTCCTTAGTTCTCGGCTGCTTTTCTTCTTTGATTCGTTTCCATCTATTATTGCCTTCTGATGCTTTGGAAAATAGGTTGACCCCTTTTTCTCCGTGGCAACCTGCCAAATATTGGAACACCATCATGTCACCCCCGCTAGTCCTTTTTCACTAGGCTAGAGATAACCAGTTCCCACAAATATTTGTCATATGGTTTAGCCTCCAGTCCCCTAATCATCTTTTGTTCACAATCCATTAAGACAAGATGGTCCCCCTGGTTTGGTTAATAGAACAGTGGCCATGAGCAGAGCCTTCTCAGAGACAGCACCCCAATTTAGCAAAGGCACGGAGGGGTGTACTCTGCCAAAAACAGCAGAGTCTGTGTCTGCGCCTGCTATGTGCTCAACCATCACGATGCGAAGCTCGTTGTCTTGATCGCTCCAGTTCTGCTTGCAGCGGCACCGGTGCGATCGGTGCAATGAGCCTCAAGGCCTGCAGCCATAAGTGGTGGAACTGCACAACTGGCACGACGAGCCTCACGGCATGCTGTTTTCGGCAGCGCTTCGGTGTCTGGCCGGCCGCCTCAGATCAGCTGTAGTGTGCCACGGAGAGCATGGCGGAGGTGGGCAAGACAGGTGCGCACAGACTCTGCTGTTTTCAGCGGTGCTTTGGTGGATGGCCCAGCAAAGTGGAGCCTGGTGTGGTGAGGCAAGGCCAGGCAAAGCAGAGCTGGATGAAGAGAGGCCCAGCAAAGCAGGGCATGGACGGGTGTGATTGAGTGAGGCAAGGAGGGACGAGATGGGATGAGGCAAATAAGCTGCAGTTGCTGCTACGCACCACTAGCCCCTGCGCGCTTGCTGTTTCCTATGCGTGCTCCAGGAGGGCGCCCAGCTGGGTTGGGGTGGGCCAGGGCTGGAACAACAGGGGCTGGTCCCTTGCCATTTTTGGAAAAGCTCCAGGGGCCAAATCTGAGTCTTTTGGAGGCAACACCCAGCCGGGAGGCCTTGTGTTTGACATGTCGGCCTTATGGTTTAGGGAGGTTTCCATCACCAATAAAACTCTTCCCATAGTCATTTATATGATTTTTCTCATGAGTGGATTCTTTGATGTCTATAAAGACTGCTCCTCTCACTGAAGCTCTTTCCACACTCCAGACATTTATACGGTTTTTCTCCTGTGTGAATACTTAGATGTCTATGGATTTGTTCACCCAGAGTAATCTCTTTCCACCTTCAAGCATTCATGTGGTTTTGCTCCAGTGTGAATCTTTTGATGTCTTTTGAGACTTCCTCCAGTATTGAAACTCTTTCCACACGCCAAGCATTCATACGGTTTTACTCCAGAGTGAATCCTTTGGTGTCTATTGAGACTTCCGCTAGTATTGAAACTCTTTCCACACTCCAGGCATTTAAATGGTTTTTCTCCCGAGTGGATTCTTTGATGTACGTAAAAGCTACTCCTGCAATTGAAGCTCTTTCCACACTGCAGGCATTTATTCGGTTTTTCTCCAGTGTGGATTCTTTGATGTTCACGAAGGTGACCTGTCTGAGTAAAGCCCTTTCCACACTCCAGGCATTTATACCGCTTCTCTTCTGTGTGGGTCCTTTGATGTCTATACAGGTTTTCCCTCAGACTGAAAGTCTTTCCACATTCCAGACATTTATTTGGTTTCTCTCCAGTGTGAATTCTTTGATGTGCATAAAGGTGTCCAGCCTGACTGAAGCTCTTTCCGCACTCCAGACATTTGTACGGTTTCTCTGCTGTATGGATCCTTTGATGTACATAAAGGATTCCCGTCTGACGGAAGCTCTTTCCACACTCCAGGCATTTAAATGGCTTCTCTCCAGTGTGGATTCTTAGATGCTTGTTAAGATCTCCATTTCTTTTGAAGGATTTTCCACATTCCGGGCACTCATGTTTCTCTCCTCCCTCCTGGATTCTCTGGGGATTCCCGGGTCTTTCGCCTCTTCTGCAGGACCCTCCGCCCTCCAGGCCCGTCTCGGGGTCTCCGCCCGTTTCCTGCTCCCCGCTTCTCCCTCTGGGCGGCCTCCGTTCCCAGAGTCCCCCTCGGCTCATCCCTGCCGGGCCATCCTCCCGGGGCTGCTCCGCGGGGCTTCCTCTGCTCTCGGGCGGCGCCTCCTTCCTTCCTTCCTTCCTCCGCCGGGCTCGCCCGTCCTCCTGCAGGGGCGAAGGGGGGGAGGAGAGGCGGGTCACGGCTTCGTCCCTTCCCCGGAGGGGAGTCCCAGGCCCGCCCGGGGGAGGAAGGCCGGAGCCTCCGCCTCTCCGTGGGACTTTCCGGCCAGGCCTCCCTCCCAGCGCCCGTCCCGCCAGACAAGGCCTCGGCCTCCCCCCTCCCTCCTCCCTCCGCCAGAGCGCCTCTCGGACTGCCCCTCCCAGCATCCCTTGCGCCCTACCTGGCTCCGAGCCGGTCACCGGCTGAATCAATTAGGGCGCCTCGGTTCTATTCGTTCCCGGAAGTGGAGGCGGGACTTCGCTGCGAGAACTCTTCCTGGTTGCTCTTCCTCTTTCCTTTCAATGGACCGCCCCGAGGAGTCCTCCTGCCAATCGCTGCCCTCCCCCGAGCGCCCAATCGGCGTCCTGCTTCCTTCCATCCATCAGCCATATGGCGCCTGCGCAGTAGCGACGGTTGTCTTCGTTCCGCCGCGCAATTGAAGCGAGCGGCTCCCTTTGACCTTTGGGGGTCCCGACTTCTCTCCGCCCCTCCCTCCCCTCCCCATCCTGGGGGTCTCTCCCTAGGCAGGGAGGGGGGATCTGGGGGGCGCTTCCTCCCTTCTTCCCCCTGGGGGGCTCCAGCCAGGCTCCCCCCTTAGCCCCCAGGCAGCCCCTCTCCCGGGCGGGGGGGGTCGGGGCAGGGGGGGAGGTGAGAGCAGCCTTCTCATATCTGGGGGGCGCCCCGAAGAGGAGGGGGCCCCCCTGTTCCCCCCCTGAAGGCTGGAGGAGCAGCGAAGGAAGAAAACTGGCCGGGGAAGGAAGGAGGAATCTCCTGACAGGGAGAACAGTTAGCCGGTGGAACTACCCGCCTCCAGAAGCTGTGAATGCTCCAACAATGGAGGTTTTAAAGAAGAGACTGGACAGCCGTTTGCCTGAAACGATCTAGGGCTGGGGTAGGCAACCTTGGCTCTTTTGTGACTCGTGGACTTCAACTCCCAGAAGTCCTGAACCAGCCATGCTGACACAGGAATTCTGGGAGTTGGAAGTTCACAAGTCATAAAAGAGCCAAGGTTGCCTACCCCTGAGTAGCATCTCCTGCCTGAGCCTATGGATGGACTAGGTGACCTCCAAGATCCCTTCCAACTCTATTATTATTATTGTTTGACTTCAAATATTTGTATTCAAATAATGTTTTTCCCAAATGTATTTCTTCAGGTTCCCCCCCCCCAGTTCTGCCTTTCCAAAGAGGAAGGAGGAAAGGGGGGGGGGATGAAGGAGAGGACGCCTTTCCCAACCTCTCGGGGTGCTTTGGACTGGAGTAGATGTGGGGTGCCCTCTAACATCTAATGCTGCTCCCCCTTTTTAGGCATTGCTTTGGGAGAAGAATCCATCCACCCCACCCTACCCCCTCGAGGGTTGAGGTGTGTCTCTTCCTCAGTCCTGTGTCTTCCATCGCAGGCCGGAGGGATTGAAGTTTCTGTGCAGGACCTTAGCCCTCCTTGGCACTGCCTTCCTCTGGGCAGAGAGAGCTCTGAGTTGCTTCCTGGGATCTCCTGGGGCCAGCTTGGGAGTCCTAGCCCTGAGTGCCAGGACCGGGATTACATCCATGCATAGTCAAACCCATCTTTTACTTTTGCAATATTTCTTATGCTTTTTCATAGACCGAACCCCATTCTGACGTCTTTGACCCTAATAAAGGTTGGATTAGGAACCAGCTGAGTATTTCCAGAGCAGAATGTTCTTCAGTGGAGTGAGAGGCTTTATTTTGAACAATTCCCAAAGTGATCTTCTGAGTTTGCAACACTTTAGCAGACTGAATGTAACTTTAGGGTAAACCAAAAATACAACAATGTGGTTGTCTTTCCTTGAAAAGCCAAACTCTGTCTGGGGGGGGAGAGTTTGGGGATTAAGTTGAAATGGGAACAGTTTTGTCAGCTGAGCAGTTTTTCTACCCAATTGGGCCAGTTTTGGAGATTAGTTGCAGGACAATTTTGACCTCGGTGGGTTCCATTCTGGGCTATTTTTAAAGGGCTGTGGAGAGAATCCTTGACTATAAATCATTTCTTTAGTGATTGTTTGAAGTTATAGCAGTGCTGAAAAAAGTGACATATGATCAGATTGCACAATTGTGAGCATTGGACATCCCCGTGGTCACGTGACCGAAATTCAGGCTGATAGCAACTGGCATGTGTTTCTGATAATCACACAGTGCCAGGCTCATTTGTCCTTTCCCACGATGGACTTAGCATCTATCTATCATCTATCTATCTATCTCTATCTATCTATCTATCTATCCCTAATAACTATAAAAATACAAATCCCAGGCATATCTGTACAACGATATAAAATGCTCAAACTCTGGGAAGGATATAAACCAGCTTTTCATTGTTAAAAAATAAAACAATAAAAACAACTATTTACAATGCTAAAAACAGCCTTAGCTTTTACTGGTCCACTGTCCAGTGTCATCACAGTGAGTGTTAGGGGTGAGGAGTTTTCTTATAAACCTTGCTCAGTTTTTTGCCCATTGATGGCGTGATAGGGCAGACCTTAATTGTCTCAGTTGTCCCGCCTCCCCTCGTTTGCATTCCAATTTCACAGCCTTCTTTCCTCCCATAACATAATGCTGGACCCAGCCGTGCGGCCCAAATTGACCATGGGGGGGGGCGATTGGAAGATACACCACAGGTAATAGCATCAGGAAGGGTAGGATTGACAAAGGTGGAAAGGACAGAAAAAGGAATAATGGGAGGAAACAAGGCTGTGAAATTGGAATGCAAAAAACAAACAAACCCAGAGTTTAGTGGGAGGCTTTTGTGAGCCTTTCTTACTTCGCGCTTGATTCCTGTCTTTAGGGGTACAGTAAACGGACTGGGGGGTGCATTCTTACTACACTGTGGAAGGAGAGCTCAGAAGACAGAGGAAGAAGAGAGGGAGGGAGGAAGAAGGGTGGACCAGCAAGTTATTAACTTAGCAACTTTAAGACTTGTGGACTTCCAGTCCCAGAATTCTTTAACCAGCCATGATGGCTGAGGAATTCTGGGAGTGGAAGTCCAGAAGTCTTAAAAGTGCCAAGTTTGAAGACCCCTGAACTAGCTGGTAGCGCTGCATATTAATAAACATGGATAAATTCATCGTACATTTGTCAGCGCAAAAGGAAATGGATTCAGCAAAGGAACAGCCACCAAATAAATAAAAACTTTTTTTCCCTACAGTTTGTAATATTTTATTAGATTATACAATAAAATACAAAAATACAAAAGCAAATAGTAGGACACAGAGGGGAGGAAAAGGGGGGGAAAGTGAGGGGGAGAAGGGAAAAAGAACAGACTTCCTCTGTTGCTGTAGAAGGAAGCATTAACATTGAACCTCATCTTTTTACTTTTCCATATTAACTAGCCATTTCTATAACAACTAATGAATCTAGTCAGTAAAACCCCAAATCCCCCCCCTTTTTTTTAGTCATCAAGTTTTTGACACCTTGCTAAGCACTGGTGGTCCTCAAATATTGTCATGCCCTAAAAGTGGTACGATCTGTGAAAAGCTAATTTGGAATAAATTTTACAAATGGAGGGAAAAAAGTATGGAGTCAACAGAAGAGATATAAGCAGATTAAGATACTAGGAATATACAGTTGTATATATATATATATTTAAATGTACAGTATGATTGACAAGATATATGTCAAAAACGATATATCGTGTTCAATGTTTTTAATTTTTTTCTGTATTCAATAAAAGTAATAAAAAAAGAACGTTTGCATGGGAAAAAGTGTCACTGTCAGGATTCAGTTATATTTCTTTTGTATCTATCTCCTCTAACCTAAAACCAATTCTTACCCTTTACTGGGTCCTGCGATACTCCAAAGGGGGAGGGGGGATATGCATGTGGGTTTTATTACTTTCACTTCCTCCATTCAGGACAAAGTAACCTTTATTTGCCTCTATTAACCATTGCAATGGAACCATTTGACTCTTATCCTATGTCCCTCTGAACTTCTATTCCTTACTGGACAACTAAAAAAAAAAAGGGGGGGGGGGTTTGAAAAGACACAAACCTCTGGAATCTGGTTTATTTCTTCATCGTCAAGATGAACTCTGAAGAGCTGGTGGGTGATCCTGGAGCTGATTTGATGTTATCTTTCATGGGTTTAACACCTAGAGAATGGCCAGCCTGAGTCGGCTGGAAGGAACGTGGGGGGGGGGGAGTTTGCTTTGGGACATTTTAAAACATCAATGTATACGGGAACCCCTCGGATCCTGTCTATCATGCCCACTATCAGTTCCTTTTAATAAAAGTTCCTGTTGGAAGAGACCGTTTCCAAGAGTTCTGCTTTCTTAAGATGTAGACTGAAGTGGGTCCTTACAGTCCCGAATCAAATGAGGCTGTGGCTAAAAGGGACAATTTCAACCCTACAATTTCTGCTAAAGCAGAAAGCTTCTATATTACAAGGTTATGATAAAACTATACAAGTCACAAGAAAGTGCAAATAAGTGCAAGAAAGCCGTTGCTCGGCCCTCCGCAAGGCATGTATTCCTGCACCACAGACATCGTCCTATCATCCCCTCCACGAGTTGGAGCAAGGGAGGTGCCATAGTGCAGATCGAGTTCAAGAAGGGGTGCAGAGACGGGAAATAATGCGCAGCTCAGGGGCGTCTTGGAAGGCCAAACGGCTCCGGGGCTGAAACAGCCACTGAGCTGCAGCACAAAGCCCAGTCTTAGCCCAGCCCAGCAAAGTGCTATGATGGGAAATGCTCACTAAACCTCAAGAATGCCCAGCCATCTTGAGCAGGGTTGCCTGCACCAACCTCCACTTCAAGACCCTTCCTGGCCTCTAAAGTGGAGGCCAGGAAGGGTCCAATCTTATCTTCATCATCTTCCTCCTCCTCCTGCTAGTCGGGATCTAAGTTAAATAAATGGAGTGGGAAATACAGGGGTTGTTAAATGCACATGGGAAGCCTCAGGGATATCTTCCTTGGGCCTCCCCCAGCCCATGAGATACCCCCGTGTTCTGCTTCCTTTCCTTGGGATCTCCACAGCCATCTCCACCCCTCACAATCTCTTGCTCACCTTCTGGAGATCTGCAGAAACCTGTTGCAGTGAGAGGGAGGAAAGACAATGAAGTGGGAAGTGTTAAAAGGGCGATGCAGAGGGAGCTGCTTTGCCTTGTTTGAAACCTGACCTGGAAGGCAAAGTTGCTCTTCCCCCCTCCCTCTGCATCGCCCTTTTAACACTTGCACCCTCCATTGCCTGTTCTCCTTCTTACTTCAAGATGCTCTTGTTTCTCCCCAAGAAATATAGAAAGTGCAAAGGACAAACTGTGGCTCATTATTCTGTTTGGAGTTACAGAGGCCATGCACCAAGGCAGAAGGTGGAGGAAATTCTGCTTTAT